CTTTGCTGTTCTGGTACCAGTTCCTGTTTGAGCTTACATCACTTCCTGCCTTCCTGACTTCTCTTCCTGTCTCTGCAACTATCCCCTCCTCATAGGCTGACTTCACTGCCTGGTTATATCACTGTTACCACTTTCTCAAGCTACTGTTTTCTAAGTCCAGTCTTAAGTCACTGATAAGTTAGATAGATAGATAGATAGATATAGATCAAATAATACTAGGCACTGTCATTTAAATTAAACCTCTTTATTCAGTCCTCACTTTCTGTGTTTGCTGACCTCACTTCCTATAGCTTTGAATTCATTCCCTTTTCTGAGCCACAAGCCTTTTTCTCCCTGGAGTGCCCATCCTGTAGGGCCTGCTTCCTGCCCCAGTCCCCCACCACCACTCTTTTTTTTTTTTTAATATTTATTTATTTGGTTGTGCTGGGCCTTAGTTGCGGCAGGTGGGCTCCTTAGTTTTGGCATGTGAACTCTTAGTTGCAGCACACATGTGGGATCTAGTTCCCTGACCAGGGATTGAACCTGGGCCCCCTGCATTGGGAGCATGGAGTCTTATGCACTGTGCACCAGGGAAGTCCCACCACCTGCACTCCTGAACTTAATATTGCTTCTTGGAATTCTCAGGGTTTCTGTCTTATGGTGGGCCTCATTCCTTATCTGTAGAATGAAAGGGGATATTTTGGGACAGGTAGTCTCTATGTTCCTTGAGCAGCCTTGATTTGTGAAGCCCTTTCCTCCTAGGCTTCACTTCCTGTACATCCCTGCCAAGTGTGGTTTTATTTCTTCTTTGGCTCTGACCTCATTTCCTGTCCTTGGCCTGATCTCACTTTCCACTGGCTACCTGCCACCCCACTCCCACTTCCTGACTCTCCATTCTTTTCCTTTCCTTCGGGAATTCTGGATAAATAATTCTTTGATTGAAGGGAGCCTCTTTTTTCAACGTCCTTTGTCCTCCTTGAGCTGTCTCTGTTGAGAACTACATCAGAGGTGGTCTTAAAATACCCAAGACACTTCTGGAAAGCCTTTCTTAAACTTGAGGTATCCCAGGCCTGATGAATGCTAGGAACCTATCTGGAAAGTAGGATTTTGCTCATGGAGACCTTTGGGATGTTGAAGGTAGAATGGACTACAATTCCCAGAAGCCTTTGGTGGAGCTCCCCAGTACCTTCATGCTCTACTACCCTGAAGCTTCCAGGGAGTTGTAGTCCGATCCCTTGTTTGCATCTCTGTGTCTCCTCAGACTCTGTATTCAACGCTGCCTGCTCTCCTGGATAGTAACCCTTTCACAGCTGGGGCAGAGCTGCCGGGGCCTGGAGCCGAGCTGGGGGCCATGCCTCCAGGGTTGAGACCTACCCTGGGCGTGTTTCAAGCTGCCCTGGAACTGACCAGCCAGTGCGAGCTGCACCCGGACCTTGTGTCTCAGACTTTCGGCTACTTGTTCTTCTTCTCCAATGCATCCCTTCTCAACTCGCTGATGGAACGAGGTGAGGGTTGGTCTGGAAAGGGTCCGGGAAGCAGAGACAGGAGCCACTGAGACCTGCATCAGTTAAGACACATCAGAGGCTCAGGCCTCATCTTTAGGGACTCTGGAGAGGAAGCTCCAGATCCCAAGCTGAAGAATAGGAAAGGTCTGGGAGGCAGGAGGGCAGAATCCGTGCACCCATTGCTTTTCACACCGTTCCCCCACAGGTCAAGGCCGACCTTTCTATCAATGGTCCCGAGCTGTCCAAATCCGAACCAACCTGGACCTTGTCTTGGACTGGCTGCAGGGGGCCGGGCTGGGTGACATTGCCACTGAGTTCTTCCGGAAACTCTCCATAGCTGTGAACCTGCTCTGTGTGCCTCGCACCTCCCTGCTCAAGGTGACTCCTGACCCCTGACCTCTGAGTCCCCAATCCCACTCATCCATCCTCTGTATTCAGCTTACCCTTGGATCTCCCCTTGGACTCCATGGTATCCCCAGTCCCAGTTCAGACACCATGGGTGATGCATCAGCAGCTAGAAGGAAGCCAGCCACATAAATGTCCAATTTTGGCTGCATCTGAATCCCAGCTGGACTTATTAATAATAGTTTCCAGGGTCCCCTCCCTCAGACATGCTGATTCAGGAAGTCTGGTATGGGACCAAGGAATGTGACGTTTAAAACATTCATTGAACGTAAACTACACGCCAGATACTGTGTTTAGCCCTTCTCACTGAGTGCTGACTAAGTCTCGTGAAGTAGGTTATTAATTGACAATTTTGTTCAGACAAAGAAACTGAGAATCAGGCAGGCTAGGTCACTTGATTTCATTTATTTACTTTTATTTATCAAACTTCTACAGAGCATTTAATAAGCACCAGTCAGAGTTCTGTGTACTTTACAATCTTGCCATATTAAATCGTCCTAACAACCCTGTTAGGTAGTTCCTGTTCTCCCCCAATTTACAGGTGAGGAAACTGAGGCACAGGGTTTGCAAGAAGGTAATGAGTAGCCTGGGACTTTTGAACCCAGGCAATCTGGGTTGAGTTTCTTGTTTTAACCACAGTGATGATTCTGTTGCCTAGATCTAGGTTAGGTACAGAAATTTTCAAACAGTTACAAAAAGTAGCCACAGTAGAATAATGAACACCTATGCACACAGTAACATAAACTAATGGTCAGTTTTGTTTCTTCTCCACCCCCGCCTACTCCTACCTCCTCATGTATTCCAAAGCAAATCACATTTTTCTTTTTTAAAGCTGAGGGTATGCCTTTTCCCACTATCACTTTGGTGACAACCATGTCTCACAGTACCTAGAAAACATTGCACAGACATCACTGTCTACCCACTACATCCATGCCCTCTTCTATGGAGGGCCTTCCACTTAGGATTTCTCAGCTGCCCCATAATGATCGTGGACTTTTCACCTCATCTTCCCACCAGGCTTCATGGAGCAGCCTACGAACTGACCACCCCACGCTGACCCCTGCTCAGCTCCACCATCTGCTCAGCCACTACCAGCTGGGTCCTGGCCGCGGGCCTCCACCTGCCTGGGATCCTCCCCCTGCAGAGCGAGATGCTGTGGACACAGGTGAGGAGAAATAGGGACAGAGGCATTGGGGCTGTCAGCTTTCTTCTGTCCTCAGGACCTAGGGATCCATAGCCCCAACTCCTTCCTCCTGGTCCAAGATTCTGGACCCCTAACCCTCTCCTGCCCCGGGATCTAAGTGCAGGATCCCAGGATACAGGAGTTCAAGCCCCCAGCTCCTTATTTTTTTCGCAGCGGTTCAGGTCCCCAGCCTCTTTCCCCCTTTCCCTCTTTCCTCCTCACCTAGGAGGCCGAGTTCGAGGCCCCTCCACTCTAAGGAAACTGTACAACGAAGTTCCCAGTCCTTCCTCCCTAATGGACCCAAGAACCCAACTATATCGCCCGTTTCCCAGGCAACGGTGGCCTTTCATAGTCTGAACTACAGCTCCCATGATGCTTGGGGACTCCCAAGAGTCGCGTTTGAGGGGACCCTGCTCCAGTAGTTGCCAGGGTTTTTTTCCTTTCTTCGGGCGTGACGCAGTCTCGGCTATCCCCGACACTGCTGCCTCACGCCCATTTTCAGAATTTAACTCCGACTTCTTCGGTCTCATAGGGGACATCTTCGAAAGCTTCTCCTCCCATCCTCCCCTCATCCTGCCCTTGGGCAGCTCGCGCCTCAGCCTCACCGGTCCTGTGACGGACGACGCCCTGCACCGTGAACTGCGCAGGCTCCGCCGCCTCCTCTGGGATCTTGAGCAGCAGGAACTGCCGGCCAATCACCGCCACGGACCTCCCGTGGCCACGCCTCCTTGAAAGCCAATAGCAAACGAGCGCGCGAACCTTGAAAATTCATCGGCTTCTCTAGAGTCTAGAGCCTGTCTGAGCGCAGAGCTTTCTGGGAGTTGTAGTTTTTCCCCGCGTGGAATGCTGGGAGTTTGAGTTTTGGGGTAGTAGAGGATGGGACCGTGGGAAGATGGGTTTGGGAATTTGAGTGCCAGGAACAATAAAGGTATCTGTGGTATTGGCAATGCCTCTATTGTTAAGACTCGGGAGCGGTAGTGATGATTTTCTGTGGAATAAGGCATCAGGGCCCTTGCCTGGAGCATTGGGCTCCTGCCGAATCCTCCGTGATATTTATAGCCACGGCCTCAGCTTGCCCTCTTGCATGTAATCCAATCCAGGAGCACTGTGGCCTCCCACGCATCTCAGGACAGAGCCCTAAACTTGTTCTGCCAAAGATCACGCCCTCAGTCCTGCCAGTGGGAAATAGCCAGCGCTCCCTTCGACCTTCCATAGCCCATACTCCAGCCTCCTCCCTCAGACCCAGGAGTCTGGGTTCCCAAGCCCCTTCTGGACCTTTCTGCCTGTCGGGCACACTGATGAGTCTCAACGTTTCTTGTCCCTGTTCTGGAATCCCTCTTCCCTCACATCCGAAAGTATGGGCCCGCAACGCACTCCTCCCTCGGGCCCAGGAGTCCAAGCCTCTGCCTCTTTTTCTTCAAACGCAGGAATTCAGGTCTCCAGCCCCCTCCTCCCTCACACCCAGGAGTTCGGGGCTCCAGTTTGAACTTTTCCCTCCCCTGAATCCGACTCTGGCTGCTGCGTCAGGGAAAAAGTAAGCGACAGGTGGCACCTGCCTATAGGGACGGGGCACGACCACCTGCCGCTGCTGCTCACCCTGAGCCCCTCTCCTGGCACCTGCTTCTGTCAGTCCTCCCGCCGCTGCCCCTTTCGACCCCGCAGCCCCAGGACGTGGAGGAGGAGCGAGCCGGGAACCCCGACTTCCGCCCCGCCCCAGGCCCTCCCAGTCCGTGCTCCCGCCCCTTCTCAGGATGCCAGGAGGGGCTCCTGTCTCCCCCCGCCCCTCTCCATCGCTCCCGACACGCCCCCAAAAGGGGGGTACGAGGCGGTCCCAGGCCGGTAGGGCGGAACCTGCCGCCTCCAGCCTTGACTGCGGGACTCAACCCGCTCCAGAGCACAGCTGAGCCGAGCCCACCTGGTGAGAAGCCCCTGGGGTGGGGGGTGGGAGGGGAACCCGCCTTAACCCTTCTGTCACCTCTCTGATCCTAGTCCCTTCCCCACAGACCGTGGCGGCTGACACCCACCCACGCCCTTCTCAAGTGCAGGTGGCAGAGACCCTTCCATTCCCCAGGGACCTATCGGGTCCCCTTTCCCCTCTTGATCAAGGCTGTTGGATTCTAGGCCCCTTAGAGTATTGAGTTCCTTCCCTTCACCCCCTTTTCCTCCCTCTCCTTTCATAGACCCGGGGTCCAGGCCACCAGTGCCCTCCTTCTTAGGACCCAGGAGTCCCAGATCTGAGGTCCTTCCTCCCCCAGACTCCAGGAGTTGGGGCCCTCAGCGCGTCCTCCCTCACACCCAGGAGTCTGGGCACCCAGCCCCCTCCTCCCCCAGGATCCAGAAGTCATGGCTCAAGGCCGCTCCCATCTCTAAGTTCCTCAGGCCCTTTCCCTGCTGCGTTCACATGCAAGGGACGCCTCCTGACCTCCACTCTGACCCTGCCTCCTGTGGGGGGCCTGCTCTCCCCGCCAGTCCAGGTGCCCATCCCAGCCTTGGCAATGACCCTGGCAGCTTCCTCCCAGCGCTCCCAAATCATTCGCTCCAAGTTCCGATCTGGTGAGAGTCTTCTCTCTGTGCACGTAGGGAAGGGAGTCTGGGAGTCCGCACGGCGGGGTGACATGGGAGGGGGTGGTGACACATGCCAAAGGCATGTGTTTTCTGTGCAAGAGATTATTTATGTAAAGGAGGCCCCAGCAAAGGGGTGGAGTTGTGGTTGACAGTGAGTGTGCAAATGGCTGGTGCAATGCTCACGTGAATAGTGGGGAATGGGCGGCTAGGGGTGGGTGTGCAGAGGACCAGGTACTGCAAAGGAACAGGGGCTTAAATTGACACCTGTGCAAATCGGAGGAGCGCCCAGTGTGGAACTGTGGGCAAGGGGACAATGAGCTCTCAAGCCTTGAAAGCGGCAAAGGTTGCATTTCAGGTCCCAGCACAGGTGAAAAGTGTGCAAGTGGATACACCTGGAGGTAAAGTCCTGAGTAGACAGAGTGTACTTGAGTGTGCAAATGAGTCTGCTTCTGTGGTTGGGTGGGTGCGAAGACACCAGTAACCAAAGAGCAAGGAGTGTGCAAAAGAGTGCACGTGTACAAAGAAATGTGCAAAGAGAGATCCTTGCTCCACAACTGGGGGCCAAATTCTGAATGCGTTAACGTGGCTGGGTGTGTGCCGAGACAGTGAACCTAGGATGAAGAGTGGCAAAGGGTACCAGTGCACAAAAGTGCTGTAGATGCAAAAATAGAGGCCAGGGAAATGCGTGTTTGAAGGTGGGTGTGCAAAGGGGGCGACTGAGGGGAGGCCCAGAGGTAGTGCAGAAGGGAGTGGGCGTGTGCAAAACGGGGTGTGGGGATGAAAGGGGGCGAGGTACAAACACTAAGATGGTGATTGGGCGGAGGATGGGGTGGGCATCAGCTGACGAAGGGGGCAGGTGGAGGAGTTGGGGGCAGGGCTGCCTCCTGCCTGCACCGCTGGCTGGCTCCTGGCCCCAGAACGGCTCTGGCCTTCGGCGCTGTGCTGGCAGGGAACAAGCAGGAGGCCCTGGAAGGGAGCAGGCTGCCCGCCCACCCGCCTGCACGGGGTGTGTAAGGGGGCTGGGCACACGTGTCCCGCCAACAACTGCAGCTCACACTCGCCTGCCAGGCCAGGCTCTTGGACACTCCCTTCCCGCCTTTCTCCTCCCACCTTCCTCCACAGTCCTCCAGCTTCGGATCCACAGACGCTATCAGGACACGAGTAAGTGTGGGCCCTGAAAGGGAGGGGATGGCGGCCCTACTCCCTTGGGGCACCCTGGAGTGCAGCTGCCACACATCTTGTTTCGGTTCCCGAGCCTCAGCGCCTATGCCCCAGGGTACTTGCAATCCCATCCTGCCCTTCCCCAGGACCCAGGAGTACAGATCCCTGGCTGCCCCACCCCTAGGAGCTTTTCTTCCTGCTCTTGGGCTTTTCCCACTCCAATGAAATGCATGGATCCAGATCCTGTTTCTTTGGAGAAGACAGGCATCCCACACCCCACACTTGGCACACATACAAATCTCAGGATGTGGCTTTCAGCTTCTTTCTCCCCAAGAACCAGGAGTGCTGGTCCCACCCCTGTCCCAGCAAAACCCCAGGAATCTGTGATCCTCAGCTACCACACCCCTCGGTGACTGAGGAGGAGATTCCTGCCTTTCTTCAGAATGTAAAATTCTGGGTCCCTAGCACTTCTGCCCTTAGATCCAGGAGTCCAGACAACCAGCTCCTGCCACTTGGGTTTCACTCCCTGGCTCTGTCCTCTTGCACCCGGGGGGGCGGTGGGGCCTCCAGGGTCCTCCTTCCCATGCAGCCTTGTTTCTCCCTGCCTGGCTTGCTGCCTGCAGGCCTCTCAGGGTCCTTTGCTGCCTCTCCATTCTCGGATCCAGATCCATGGATCTCAGCCGCAGACCCGGCTCTGGCTCCGGCCCCAGCCTCACCCTCGAGCCCAGCGCCTTTCCTCTTCAGCCCTGGGGTCCTTCTCCCTGAGCCAAAACACTACCCTTGGCGGTCCCTGAAGAAGGTGAGTCTCGACCAGAGTGAAGGGAAGTCCCCCTGAGAGTCTAGCCTTGGTCCTCCTTACTGCTGCCCATTTTGCTCCTCTCTGATGGGGACAAGCCGACCCCATACTTTTCATGGGGCTCTGGGGCAGGAAAGTGGGAATGGAGCAGAAGCATTTGACGTCATACCTGCTTTTTCAGGAGTCTTCCAAGATCTCCCAACATTGGAGGGAGCCCAAGCCCAAGAAGAACTTGACATACCACCAGTACATGCCCCCAGAGCCGAGACAAGGGTCCAGGGCAGACCCCCAGGCTGAAGGGTCGGCCTTGGGTCCCCCTGGACCACCTCCATGGGAATGGACAAACTCACAGCAGCCACCTCCTAGGTATGACCCCTGTTTTTGTTCTCTGGGAAGTTCAGGCCCCCAGCTCCCTCCTCCCCCAGGACGCAAGAGTCCAAATCCCCGGCCCCTCTTCCTTCAGTTCCCAGAAATCCTGACCTCATCCCCGAGAGCCTGAGCCACCTCCTCCCCACCCCCGCCCCCTGCCGCGGTTCCTCGTCTCTCAGGCACCGGAACTAGCCTCCTCTGTTCTCGCGGAGCTTCAGAACTCAGGTCCCTTGCTTTCCTGCATCTTCACGAGCCCCTGTCTTTGAGGACTCCAGAATGCCTTTTCTCTCTGCTCCTTCTAACCTGTTTTCCCTTCACAACTCTCGCCAGGATGAAGCTCAGTCCCCTCACTCCCTCCCCACCAGGAGTCCCCAGCCCCTCGCCCTCTCCACACAAGTTGGAACTTCAGACTCTCAAACTGGAGGAGCTGACGGTGAGTTTGGGGAGTAGCTTCCCAGGCTGGCCCTCTCGCTCAGTGGGGACCCAGAAGTCTAACCTTGCAGCCTCTGCTCCATTGGAGATCCAGGACCTAGGGTCCCCAGTCCCTCCTCTCTCGGTTTCCAAATGTCCAGCTCCAACCTCCCCCTCCCCGCCACCTGCGCCCCGGAGCCCGCCTAGCACGGCCTCTTTCCGCCTCCCTCCGTAGGTCTCAGAGCTCCGGCAGCAGCTGCGCCTGCGGGGCCTCCCAGTGTCTGGGACCAAGTCGATGCTCCTGGAGCGCATGCGCGGTGGCGCCCCGCCCCGCGAGCGGCCGAAGCCGCGGCGCGAGGAAGGTCCGGCGGGTGCTCCCTGGCCTCGCTTCAGGCGCAAGGCTTTGGGAGCCGCTGGGAGGCCGGGCTCGGTGAGAGCGGGACTACGCGCATGGACCAATGAGGAGAAGACAAAGCGGGACGGGGCGGGAAGTCGAGAAAAGAATAGCCAATAAAGTGTGGGGGGCGCGGTTAAGAGCAAAGGGGGAGGATCTTAAGGGAAGGGAAGCCAATGAAAGAATAGGGGGCGAAGCCGAAGGGAGCCATGGATGAGTGAAGGCCTGGGCCGGGACCAGGAGGTGGAGCCACAGGTAGCGAGTGGATAGGGTTGCTCCCCGTGGGCACGGCTTAAAGGAACTCGTCCTCTTCGCCGTTCTAGTTGAAGCCGAGTCAGACATCTCACTCGCTGCCCCCTCCACGTGCCGCGGAAACCCTTGTGACGGTTCCGGCTCCTGCTCCGGCTCCGGCTGCATCGACGGCTCAGGCTCCAGCTCCAGCTCCAGCTCCAGTACCGATTCCTTCTTCAGCAGCAGCCTCGACAGCCCTGACACTGGAGGAGGAGCTGCAGGAAGCGATCCGCAGAGCGCAGGTGAGAGGGAGCGGGCCTAGGGTCTCAGTCAGGATCAGGCTGGAGTCCCAGGTTCACGCCAGTTCTGCCCGTCCACAGTTGCTTCCGAACCGGGGCATCAGTGACATCCTGGAGGATCAGGTGGAGCCTGAGGGTAAGAGCCGAAGTCCTAGATTTGGGGGGAAAGGGGGCCGAGGTTCTGGGCTTCTGTGTTCGCGGGAGGAATAGGTTGGTATCTGGACTCCTGAGGTGTCTGGACTCCTGAGTCCTAGGGAGGAATGCGCTGGGGGCCTAGACTCCTGGAAAGGACGAATAGGGAGCTGGGGTCCGGATCCCTGCCTTCCTAAGCTCACGCTTCATTCCTTTCCCTACAGACATGCTGCCCCCCATTCCCCTGGACTTCCCCGGCTCCTTCGACTTGCTGTCCCCCTCCCCGGACTCTGAAGGCCTCTCATCTGTCTTCTCTTCCTCGCTCCCATCCCCCACGAACTCCCCGTCCCCCTCTCCCAGGGGCCCCACCGACTCCTTGGATTGGCTGGAGGCTCTGAGTGGGGGTCCCCCACTGGGCTGTGGCCCCCCAGCCCCCAGCATTTTCTCTGCTGACTTATCTGATTCCAGTGGCACCAGGCTGTGGGACCTGCTGGAGGATCCATGGTGATGGATTTTGGGGTTTCCAGGGACTGTGAACTGGTGGGGATGGAGAGGCCACAGAGATAGACTCCGTGAGGGAGGGGTTGGAACAACCAGCAGAATCCCTCCCACCACAGACACAAAATCAGAGACAACTCTCATGCCCACCTGGCCCCTGCACTGCTGCTGACATGCCAACCTCCTGGCTTCTGCCTGACCTCCATGTGATCCCCTCCATGGTTGTGTGGTTGGGGGCAAAGAGGTTTCATTTGCTGCTGACCAGGGCAAAATAAGCTGCTTGCTGCTCCCCTCAGAGAACTCCTGGATGTTTTTGTTCCCACTTTCATCCCCCCGTCCCACTGACTAGATGGATGCCTGTTGCTGGGGAGTCTGGAAGGTGGTCTGTGCTTTTTGGATGCAGGAGAGGGACAGGGAAGAGTAGGGAGAGAGAATAGTCTGCCAGACCCTTGGCTTCTGATTGGAGATGAGAAAAATCAGATGTGTCACATCTGGGGTCAGATTCTCTCGGAAGCAGAGTCTGAGACAAGGTTTGTGTATCCATGACCCGGGAAAGAAATGCTCCCAGGAGAAACGAATGAAGGAATAGATGAAACAGGACAGCGATGGGGGAGAAGACTAGCTAGAATGCGATTTCAGGTGAAGTCCCAGCCTTAGCCTGATCCCATGGGGAGCTCTGCAGGCTAAATTAAGTGGTAGAGTCTTTCCCACCTTGAGGCAAAGGGAACTGGGCCTTTGAGGCAAAGGGAGATCTCTGTTTGGGTTTATTGTTGCTGAATAACAAACCGCCCCTAAATTTAGAGTCTTAATTCCTGTCTGTGATTGTTCACAATTCCATGGATTGGCGGGGCTCAGTGAGGCACCATATAATGTCAACTAAAGCTGCAGTCGGGACTTCCCTGGTGGCACAGGTGGTTAAGACTCCAAGCTCCCAATGCAGGGGGCTTGGGTTCGATCCCTGATCAAGGAACAATGTCCCACATGCATGCCGCAACTAAGAGTTTGCATGCCACAACTAAGGAGCTGGCAAGCCTCAATTAAGGAGCCCTCGAGCTGCAACTAAGGAGCCTGCCAGCTGCAACAAAGACCTGGCACAACCAAATAAATAAATAACTAATAAAATATTTATAAAAAAAAAAAAAAAAAAGCTGCAGTCCTCTTAGGGCCCAACTGGGCTGGAATATCCCAGATGGCGCACTCAGGTGCCTCTGGCACCTGGGCAGGGATGGCTAGTAGGCTTGACCCTACTGGGCTGTGGGATATCTGGACTTCTCTCATTCTGGATTTGGTCTCAGTGCTCTCCCTCTCCATGTGGTTCCTTTCTCCAGCAGGTAGCTGGACCCCTCACATGGTAGCTCACGGCCCCCCAAAGTGAGCATTCCTAGGGGAGGAAGCAAAAACTTCCAGTCTCTGAAAGACTAAGCTTGGAACTGGCACAACGTCACTTCCACCACATCTTATTGGTTAGTGCGAGTCAAGGTAGCCCAGGCTGAATATGATATGGGATAAGACTACACAAATGTATGAATACCGGGGGCGTGGTCATTGGGCACTGTCTTCAGAGACCTGCCACTACACCCCTCTAGGCAGTCATGGGCCACAGGTCACAAGAAGGGGCCAGGATATAAACTCCAGGCACCTCAAGCTCAAGGGCAGTCTTGGGAACAAGGTTGCAGGGTAAGCCCTTAGCAGCAAACTGTTTTAAAATATAGGTTTATTATCATTCAGGTATGGTGAGGCCAGTAGATCGGGAGACAATTGCCATTGAAAAGATAGTTTGTTATTTTCAGAGATCCCAAAGGAAGGGGGCATGCCAAACTCTGCAGGGCACCAGGGTCGGTCAGGAGTTAGAGGGGAAGAGGAGAAACTTGGACAAGAGTCTTGACTGTGGTTTCCTTGGGAAGGAACAGATGAGGCAGGGTAAGCTTAGGATTGTCTAGTTTGAATAATTTCAGCAGGCTCTGGGGTGTAAGCGTTGTCCCCAGTTGCCTGGAACTTGGCCCTGGGGTGACTAGGCAGATGGAAAGTGACCTGAAGTATAGAATGCCATAAAGGAAGTGGTTGGGGGTATGGGCTCTGGGTTGGTTGCTTTGCATGTGAAAGGCATACTTACATGTCAGTCCTTTATTACCTCTAGGAATTGGCTAGCCCTGGGAGGGGCAGTCCCTCCAATGTCAGCAAGGCCCCAGATGTCAAAGCACCAGAAATACAGAAATAAAAAACCATGATTAATGCATAAAGCACACAGAAGCCGGGTGTTGGGTGCACAGAACTGGTAAGAGGAATCTGAGGGGACCTGGGCAGGCTGCCAACAGTGTCCACTACAGGTGGGAAGGTACAGTGGATTAGTTATGTGTTACAGGACCTAGAACCAGTGACTTCCCCTGGCTTGCTGTCATGTCAGTTTCCTTATTTGTACCTACAGCCAAGTGTGGCTGAGAGAGTTCACTGAGAATGTCCATGAACTGGACCTGGCATGTGACGTGTGATGGTAAACATTAATCACCATTATTAGCTGCTGATCGACAATTCTAGTGCCTCGAAGTGTGTAAACTCTGGTGAACATTGAGGATCCAAGACAAAAATGGAAGGGAACAAATGCTCGTTACCATGAGGCAAAGGGAATCTTTGATGTCTTCCAAACCAATCAGGTAGAATTTGTCCTCCTTACTTTCCAGATGAATTAATTAAAGATCAGAGAAGGGGAGCGACCTGCTCAGTGTCACACAGACAGGAGGTGTTGGAGTAGGGTTTTGGGGTTTTTTTTTTGCGGTACGCGGGCCTCTCACCGTGTGGCCTCTCCCTTTGCGGAGCACAGGCTCCGGATGCGCAGGCTCAGCGGCCATGGCTCACGGGCCCAGCCGCTCCGCGGCATGTGGGATCTTCCCGGACCGGGGCACGAACCCATGTCCCCTGCATCGGCAGGCGGACTCTCAACCACTGCGCCACCAGGGAAGTCCCTGGAGTAGGGTTTTAAATCAGATTAATATGTCTACAGCCTGTACCCTCAGGGTTGAAAAATCAAAGAACCTCAATCTCTGCTCTGGTGAAGCTCAGACATTTGCAAAGAGAGTCCCAAGGCAGGGTGATAGGTATTTTCATGGCAAAGGTACAAGGAATAGGAGGGGCGTGACTCCTAGAAAGTGACCAGAAGCTGCAGGGGAATGGGGAGGTTGGTCAGAGAAAATATTTTTGCCAAGACGCAAAGGGTGAGGAGAAGCTGGTCAGAGGAACCTCTTGGAAGACAGCATCCTTGTAGAGGGAGAAGAACATGCAAAGCCTTGAAGGTGTGAAGGGCGCTGCCACCTGGGGAAACTTGTGAGGTCAGGGGTCCTGGAATAAAAGGTGGGTGTTGGTGCTGTGGCAGAATTCAGGGCTGAAGAGGTGGTGGCGGCCGAGTCCTGCAGGACCCTTCACATCAGGATGAAGATTGCTGGGAAAAGGGTACAGTCAGCCCTGGAAAGATCAGAAGGGGTCTGGCAGGTCTTCCTCTGTCTCTCTTTCCCTTCTGACACTTCTATGCCTATACCCCTATATCAGTCTCTTCCCATCTCTGCCTGCCTCTGTGTCTTCACTCTGTCCCCATCTCTTCTGTGTCCAGAGGAGGGTGGCCTTGGGCTGAGAGCCTGTGGGCCCTGTGTGCAGTTTCAAAGAGAGTCAGGGCTAGGGGCGGCTAAGGAATTCTCTGGAAGGTGGAGATTTGAAAGACAGACCCAGGATTGCGAGGAGTGTGCAGGTTTGAGTCCAGAGTCTGAGGGGCGGGCTTGGGTCCTGCATTTTCCATGGCCTGTCCCTCAGCCCTCTTCCAGACATGTCAGCTACTTCCTCCTGCCCCTGAGGCAAGGACTGGGCCTCCCCCAAGGGGGTGGGGAAAAATGAGGGCTGGACCTATGGGGGAGCTGGGGGGAGGCTGAGGTCAGATGGGGATCCCTCCCCCCACCATGCTGCCATCCCACGATCTCAATGGAAGCATGAAAAACACCAAGAATATATTTGACAAATTACCAATTTATTTTATAGACGTATTCCCCAGAAAGGTACATTCATATTCATTGGGTAGACTGGAGAAGAATATATTTTGCTTTTCTCCCCCTTCTCCTTCCCTCTGCTTCTCTTCTCTGCCCCCCAACCCCATTTCTCCCTCCCTCCCTTCGTATCTCTCTTTCTCCCTCCTTTCTCTGTTACCACATAGCTAACTGGCTGCTTCCAATCACTGACTTCTATTCTATTCTGCCTTTTACCTCTACGTTATTATTATTATTATTATTATCATTATTATTTGGCCTCGCAGTTTGTGGGATCTTAGTTCCCCAACCAGGGATTGAACCTGGGCCCTCAGCAATGAAAGCATGGGGTCCTAACCACTGGACCGCCAGGGAATTCCCATCATCCACCTTCTTTTTTCTTTCTGCTTCACCAGAGATGACCACCCCCCAGCTCCCAACTGCACCAACCATCATCGAGCACAGCCTCTTAGGGACCTGTGGGAGAATTTCTCTGGGAAACACACCCAGGAGAGCTTGACACAGAAGCAGGTGCCTTGGTGGTTGAGGGTCATCTCTGGGGCCAGATTTACCTGTGTGGACTTATCTCTCCATCACTAGCTGCCTGGCCTAGGGCAAGCCATTTAACCTCTCTGTGCCTCAGTTTCTTCATTCATATAATAGGAACAAGGGCAATAGTACTTTGTGTGGGTGGTGTGAGGAATAAATGAGTTGACCTGTGTAAGGTGCTTAGAACAATGCCTGGCGTATAGTAAGTGCTCATTAAGTGTCAGTGACTGTCACCGCCCCACAGGATTGATTTGATTTCCAGTCCTCTGCCAAATGGCTGTGTCCCCCCACGCCACCACCGTGTGTGTACGAGGGTTGCCCTGCCCTTGGTGTTGTCCAGCTATCTCATTTTCAGTCTGTCCACTGTTACCTCTTGTTTCTCTCAAATCTTGTTTATCCCTGATGGTGGATTATGGGGACTCCCATACCTCAGACAGCCTGGTGATGAAGACCTCAGAGCCAGGGCAGGGGGGAGTTAGATGGCTGAACTGGGAGGAAAAGAGGGAAATGGGAATTGTGAACATTTATTCTCTAGAAGACAGGCTCTTTCCTTCCCTTGGGCAAACTGCTTCAGTGCCAAACCTTCATTCAGACTTTGAACCCAGCCCCTCCCTATCTGGGGATCCTAGACAAGTCGTTTCTTCTCTCTGACCTCATAGATGACCAGGTTCCTAGGTATTTTCCCAAGAGAAGTGAAAACATGTTTGCATAAAGACTTGTACACAAATGTTGATAACAGCAT